AGAGGCCTCTCCTGTGCCTCTGCTAATGTGATGCGACTTCTAGGAGAAGACATTCAGGAAACAGGATTGTTTGTTTTTGTTTTCTGCTTTTATGAAAGGGAATTTAAAAAAGCAACCTCACTGAAGCCATGTGAAAATGAAGTGATCTAAAAATATCACTGCAGGGGGAGTGATGTACTGAGGCCTTGCACGTAGTCATAACACCTGCACCTGCATTTCTGTATGATGGAGGTGATGCCTCATCCTATAGCGAGTCCAAACTAAAATCAGAATGAGAATGCTTTAATAATCCTGAAGGAAATTATGTACAATGATCTAAAACTTGCCTCTAACAATAAAAAGAGTACAGGGCGAAAGGTTCCAGTCTTATTGATTTCATTCAAAATGACACTTTATAAAACAGGCAGCAGGTTAAATTTGTTGTGTGAATCAGATTTAAAAATAAAAAATACCAGTTCTTGTAAAAGAAAACTATAAACATCTATAAACATGCAACATTCATACAGTGAAGGATTTTTTTTATTTTTTACATAAAACATTTTTTTTATTTGATTCCCAGCTGAATTTGTAAGTTTATTCTCTTAGAAAGAAATCAACAGTCTCTCAGTGTTCATGGTAGCCTCACTTTACTCAAAATATTTTTATTGAGCGATTGTGGATGCAGTTTACGAAAAAAAAGAAAAGAAAAGGGAAACAAAAAACTTGTTACATTGAATACAAAACAGAACTTCTCATGTTAGAACATATGTAAAGAAAAAAGAAAACAAACAAACAAACAACAAACCACAACCCAGGAGGGGCGACTGATACTAACAAGCCCTTTCCTTACAAACCACACAGAAGTTAGCTTCGACACCACTGAGCTTCACATTCTCATTAACACAGACACACATCGGAGTGCTGTGGAATAAGCAAAGTTAGTCAGTTAGTCATCCTTAAATTAAAAGTTAGAGAAGTTTGTCAGAAAAAGACCCCAGATTTGATCAAATGTGCCCTTTTGGTTCTGGATGGAGCAGTGGATCTTTCCAAGACTGGGACACGACATGAGATCAACAAAGCACTGAACATGGTAGTCTCATTTTAATAGAGAGACGTAATATCAACCAAACATCTGGGAAAAAACACAGTACTCAGCAAAACACGACTTAGTACTTTAGTCAGATGTTTCTCTTCCTCTTCTCTTCCTCTCCTCAAATCATTTAGGTTTCTAGGCTGCTGCTAAGAAGTCGAAGCATGAGGTAGGCCACGTCACGCTATGACCTTAACATGGGGGGCTGTAGAGACTGCTCACTTTTGGAGACCACCAGAAGTGTGTACTAGTGGACATGCAGTTTTTGACATTTTCATATTAGCTTCCTTTTTCAGAAGCTGGGCTGACAACAAAAGAACATAGTATCAATGCTGGTTCACTGCTGGCCACTGCTGTTGATGTACTAAAGACTAAAGATATCTGAAATGTTTCACTGGGCTCCTTAATAACACTTTAACTACCATAGCCCATGAGTCTTGTTTCCGATACATACATATTCACTTATGGCCGCATTTATTTTCTTCTTTTAATTCTTTCCCCCATGAAATAGAAAATGTCACATGGCAAAGTCTTGATTTTATGAACATGGCAATGATTCCCGGGAGCTTCGATGTTGAGATCTGAATTCAACATAACAAGCACGGCTGCAACACGAAATACTACTGAAATGATGTGACGCAGATAATCAACAGAATCTCAAACACCTGTCATCGAGAGCTGAGGCAGTTTTCTCAAGTATTTCGTTGAGGTTTTTGTAGTTGTAGAAGTTACAGGTGGGATATTGTACACATGTTTACATTTTATGAAACTCACTTGGGTCATGCCTGAAAGAAGCTTTGTGGTACTGAGGTCAGTTTTATCTTTGTGTTCTGCAGTCAACCCATTGTGGCTGATAGTTTATTGATTATTGTGACATTTTCTAAATAATTCCAACATAAATTATATTTTTCCATCACAGCGATTGCATCTCATCAATAATCAGCTTAAGATAGCTGTCGTTTGAATTGCCGCTTGAAAAACTGAACTGCAAGTCCTGACGTTATTCGGTCAGCCCATTCTCCTCGTTTTCCCCTGTCAGGTTGCAGCAGCAGGCCTGACTGCTATCTGGAGCATGTTTATATGTGGATTCTGAAAGTACAGAGTACATGACTTTGTCTCCAGTGTCTTTCTTGTTAAGCTGTTTGGTTAAAGTTCATATATTACTGCTAACTAGTGCTAGTTGCAGACTAATGAAATAACTGAGAGCAAGCCATATCATTAATCAGATAATTCTTTAAGATTCTACAAAAGTCATCAGCACTGCACCACAATTACGATGCAGCGCTTCATTTCAGTGATTTGAGTTAGTCTAGGTAAGGCCCAGCAGGTCACATGTTTTCCCAACATGAGTCAAAGCAGCAGCATGCCTAATTTTAAGCCTTGAATGAATGTGTTTTTAAATCAAACCTCGAACACTGTGATCCTTTTTAGACATTTGGATTTAGAGCCCGCCTCCAATGGCCAATCAAGGAACTGCAGATTTTAACACTTCTGTCTTTGCCTTATTTTTCAGGTTGCCATTAAAAGAGTCACCAACTATTTGTTAGGTACACGTATTGAACTGTTTGTTATTTCAAACATAAAACCAAAACCACATCGGCGCAACTGTATATATCTTCAAGATGAACTGCTGAAGTTCAAAATGAGCATCAGAATAAAGATTTAATTAAATGTGCCATGGTTGCAGGTACCTGCTGAGATTTTCCTGGACATCCATCTCTAGGGTTCACAGTGAATGGCAATTCTCAAAAGGAATTTACAAACTGAGCTGACAGGAAAGAAACAGTAACTCAAATACGCACTTCTTACAACCATGGTATGAAGAAGAGCATCACATAACGGACAACATACCAAACCAGGAAGCATATTGGTGCCAGTAGCTGACTGTTAGCACTCCTATTAGCTAAGAACAGGAAACTGAGGGTACAATTCATATGGGCCCAACAAAATTGGAACGGAAGATTGGAAAAATGTTGCCTGGTTTGATGAATCTCGATTTCTACTGTGACATTTAGATGCTAGAGTCAGAATCTGGCATAAACAACTTGAAGAATGGATCCATTCTGTCTCATATCAGTGGTTCAGGCTGCTGCTGGTGGTTGTTGGCATACTTTGGGCCCCTCAGTACGCACTAAGCATCGTTTAAATGCCACAGCCCACCTGACTGTTGTACCCATCTTCTGAAGGCTGTTTCTAGCAGGATGATGCACCATGTCACAGAGCTTAAATCACCTCAAACTGTTTTCTTGAAGATGACAGTGAGTTCACATTACTCAAACTCCACAGTCACCAGATGCAACAGAGCACCTTTGGGATGTTGTGAATTTGGAGATTTGCTTCAAGGATGTGCAGCAGCTGCATAACCCTTGTTCAATTTATGCATAATTAACACAGTTCTGATATGCAAAAGGCTTCCAAACCGGTACAAGCAAGGTGTACCTAAAAAAAGTGTCTTTTTAAAAAGACTCTGTATTTAAGCAGCCCTCTGACTCCTTTGAGGCCTGGCACTGTGCCCAGGGGCTGTACCTGAGGACTGTTTAGTAATCCAGGCACAAATGTGATTGAATTCTCTGCTGTGCTCTGTGTTCATGTCTAGCTCTGTCTCAAACAGAAAAATATTTGAAATAAAATTTCAGTTTTTCATAAGAGCCAGCAAATAGGCAACGGATCTTTCACGAGCTTGCTAATGATTTTTTTATTTATTTTTTTTGCAAAGCATCAGTTTCTAGTTTTCAGAAAACACTTTCATCTCCTTTGCGAGCTGAAATAATGAATCTTCATTCTTTGAGCATTAGAAACAGAAATAGTCAAAGCTGGTTAAAGAGTCATCAGTTTCCATATATCTGGTAAATGTTGTGAGAGATATTTAAAAGTATTTATATGTGCCAAATCCTTAAACCAGTGTGAGAAGACACACATCATAGAAAATATTCAAATACATAGCCACCTGCCTCATATTGTTTAGATCCATTTAATGTTGCCAAACAGCTTTGAGCCACAAGGGTACAGGTCACAGGACCTTTGTGGTTTCTGGCAGCACTTGTTGGCAGCATATCCATATGACAGGGAGATTGGAGGTCCATGGGTCAGTATTATTCCAGCACATCTTTTGGCAGCCCAATTAGACTGCAGGCCAGGGTCAACAGCTTGATCTTTCTGTGGTCCTCTGTCCCTGAATAGACTTTCTCATAATTCTCGGATTTGAGCAACTGTTCTCCAGGTTTTATGAAGGTCTTTCTTTGAGCATTGGCTTCTTTTTCACTTATTTTTAGTCCAGTCAAGTCCAGAGTAGTTTTGCACCAACAATATGATTCCCAAAAATCGGAAAACAACAGTGTGTACTTAA